TCTCCACATTGTTTTATTCTTCTGAATGCAGTGCAGGTTCTTTAGCTGTTGCCGAAGTAGATACTGACTTTGCTGGGAGCGTGACTTTGTGCAAGGCATAAAGGTTATACTTCTGCAGCTCTTCTACTTTTTCCCTGCCATCTCTGACCACTCAACTCAGGTAGCCAATGAGAGATGCCCTGTTGATCTCTTATCCTTGGGAATAATTTTAATCTCTTCCTCCTGTTTAATGTTAGTGTCCTCCTTTCCCCATATATGTGGTTGTGTGCCTGTTTGTCTCATCCATAAGAGTAAGCTTTTAAGAACTGGAACTCTGCACCAAATGTGCAGTGAAATGACTTTGTTGAAGACCCATTGTCTGCCTGCTGGCTCTCATCAGTGGTAACTTCCCACTGCTATTTTTAGAGAGTTTTACATAGAGCCTTTTTGAACTGGTATTCTGGGAAAATAAAGAGCTGGCTGTTTGTAATACTTTCTACCAGGAGTGGGGTGTTCACTTTGTGTTCTCTAATAATCAACTGTTTGGAATCACTTTTTTTGGCACAGTGAAAGGGGAGCTAGATAAACAGATTGATAGAAGAAGAGGTGAAAAGTAGGAAGGAGTGGGAAAGAAATGGGAAGAGGATCTTCCTATCTACCAGTTGCTTTCATGTGGTAGAGCTTAATGAGAAGATAATAGGTTAATTTACTGAGCTGTGACATATTTACATGTAAAAGACTTACATGAGGTCCCTTTCTCTTTTTTCAAGTGTAGATGATTTTGAGATGACCTGGTTGCTTCCCCAAGGAGAGAGGCTTCTGGCTCTCCAACGGGCAGTTTTTAGGGTGTAGGAAGTAGAGAACACTCTCTTGGTGGGCTTACATCCAGATGTGATTCTCAGTGGATTGTTTTCCTTTTTGGCAGCATCAACTGGCTCTAGCGGCCAAGGCTTCTGCAAGGCTTCCCATCCAGGAGCGTTTCATCCAGGGATGCTATTGGAGGCCAGACTTCCAGTTTTGCTAGGAAGAGATGCCTATTAAGTTAGGGGGCCAGGGATTTGATTGCAGCAGTCGCTATTCAAGTCAGCCAGTCATCATTTCATCCATAAGTCAGGGACTCTGTCCTTGCAGTCCCAGTAGGCACTTGCTCTGGTGATGTGATTTAGAGAGTCAGTGGCAGGGTTTGAACTGCAGTGTGAGCACAGAGGGTTAATTTAGTCACAGAGAGCCTGAGCAGCCTGTGAGAGTGACCCTCTGCATCCTACATGGAACGAGGGACAACATGGAGAGACTAAAGATGATCCCTCAAAGCCTAGCTTCCTTCATTGCTCCTTCTGCTGTGGACTGTCCTGTGGGGACAGTACCTATGCTGGAACATATTACACATGGGCAGCTGTTTGCAGTGAACAGTGATGCAAAGGCTGAGATAGTATCCTCATAAAGACCTCTAACCTCAAGTCTTTTTTTGTAGTAGGAGGAATACATAAGTTAACAAAAGGAAACTAGAATAAGAGGGAATTCGCCTCTGCTGAACAAACCAAGCTTCTCTATATCATCTAGCAAGGCCATAAAAATACCATCTACAGATTGACTTTAATAAAGGAGCCCACTGAGGACACAAGCACCTGAATTACAGATTCCCGGAGCACACACAGGCATTTATCGCTGACAAAGAAACAAAATCTCCAGGAGGCAACTGGGATCTTTTCATTTTGAAAATGCTTTAATAAGTGTTGACAACACTGTTTTGCAAAATGTAAAGGTACTATACAAATTCTTAATACAAAAAGAATAAATTAAAAGCAGATTTCTTTTTTAATTCTGCAACTTTGTCTACAACGTACATCTTTTTCATTGATTACAGTTGAACAGAATCCAGTAAAATCATTTTACATGCTCTACAGTCAGTTTCAGGAGCAACCTAATCTTTTTCCCCCATTATTAAACTAGACTCCATTTTACACAACTTGTAATAAACTATTGACATTAATGTATATGTAAAACTTTACACCTAGTTAACTAAGCAGTAACTGGTCGTCTGATAGCACCTGGATGGGGTTTGCTATATTTAGAACTAAACTAATACTGAATGAAAACAAATTGGAATTTTAACAGTTTCAACACTCACCTGCATATAATAAAATAAAAAATCAACCTGGCTCACAACATAAGTCTGATGTATGAGTTTTCACCAGTCTTCTGGCTGAAACAGGCAATTTCTTTTACGCATCCGAAGAATCCAATAGGGGCTTTATATCAGACCAGGGACTTCATATTTCACCTTATTTTGTTTTAAAGGAATAGGGATAAAGAGTTTGCAAGTGCTTGTGTACAATAACTACATCATTTCCCACCACACTGATCATTAATCATGTCAGTCTCAAAGGACTAACGTTTTATGTACATTTTGTATTAACTGAACTCAGCTAAACAGTAAAACCTGTTTTACTTAATCTCTGTCTTGACTACCAGACTATCATGATGTTTGCTGGAACTGTAATTCCTGTTCCCACTCCATTTCTCTGTCCCCCGAATTGAAAACATAACCCAAGTATTTAGAATTTTTGCCTCTCATTCCTTCCAACTCAAGTGGGCTAGAATCTTGATCCGGTTTTCTCCAGACTAGATTTCAAGCTACTCTGCATGGTGTAGAACCTGTAACCACGTAACCTCATCACCTTCCTTTTCCCTTTTGACTTTTCGTGTTGCACACAGTTCAGTCTGACTCTTCATGAATCTTCTTTGGGAGAAAGAAAAATGACCCTATGTATCATGTTTCTGAATGGGGAAGGGAGAAAAAAAAAATCACTGCTCTTTGTAGCTCTAACCATGAAAATAAAAGCAACAAAAATATCCCCCAATGAATCCCTAGAATCATTTAATAATATCATAACCGGTTTCTATTTGTCCTGCAGGTGTACACTTAAAGCGTTCTGGGAATATTAATCCCTTCTGCATGCTGGAATCACCAGTCTAGCCATGCATGGAGCTGGGGAAAGCAGGCCCTGAATCGTCTACAGAAACTTGGTGGAGGAGGCCACGGCCCGCCTTGTCCTGGCCAGGTGCGTGTGCCCCAGCTCGACTCTCGGTGGTCTCCAGGCTGCAGCAGAAGGAATACCTTGGTATTTATTTCGTTTTAGTATCCATCCTTACCCTCCTGGTCTGGTACAGCCTATGGTTATTCTTGGATTCCACATACATGAAAAGCGAAGATTTTTCTTTTCTTTTTATGCTTAAGCTAACTTCAGTTCTGCTTTCCCACAAAACTACTCCCACCCTGGCTCCTGTCCCTGGCTGTCAATGTCTTTCCAATAGGAAGTCATTAGAGTGAGAAAAAAATTCCACCCCCACCCCCCACCCCCCAACCACTTGCGCCCAAAGCACAGCAACACCACCTCTGCGGAAACCTTTTTGTGCCATCTTGAATAACCCAACTAAAGTTGTGCACTTATTATTATAAAAGTGTTTTTGAGGCCTTTGAAGATTGATGGCTTTCCAGTTGTGTTTGAAGTGTAGCTTAAAATACATGTAAACGTGCAGCTCCCACACATTAATTTTTTTCTTTCCTCTTTTGGTATCTGCACACAAATGTGGTGCATGACAGTGAGTGATGATGTGGACACATGGGCCCTTTGGGAGCTGGTATTTTTTTCAACCCTGCTCTGCCTGTTGGCTAGTAGACACATGAGTCAAATCTTTCTACCTAAGGGCATAGTTGGGTTCTTGGAATAAGTGACACATGGGAGAAGTCGGATCTGAGCTCTTTTGTCACACAAGTGCTAACGAACAGAAAATGAGGCACAACAGTTAAACACTGAATGGATCGCAATGTGCTTTTCCCTTGGTTTCCCATAAAAAAGAAAATGAAACACCTTGTGCAAAAAAATAGGATACGCTTTTACTGGTTTGTTTTAATGAGAGAGAACCACTTTTGGCCATTATCACCTTATGTTACTACAAATCCTGAAAGGAAAGCAGCGTTGAGTCTTGGGCTTGGCTGAACCCCCTGCATGGACCGGGGCTAATGGTGCCCTCCATGACTCCTGCAGGTCTCTCTTCCTTCGTGTCCAGATGGATGGCGGCTGTGAGTCGGCAATGCCAGCCAAGACTCCCTCGTCTTCACTGTGGCATTGGGGCAGTTTCTCAGGCGCTCTACGGAGAGAGACGTGGGCCGGTAAGGGAGAGGGCTAGAGAGAGGACACCAGTTTACACAGGGTTGACTTACACTTGTGTGTAGTAGCAGTTCAGAATTTAAAAGAAATTTCCTTGCAGAAAGAATGTCTTCCTCTTGGCCCCTCTTAATTTTTTATGTTTTTATTTATTTTTAATCTTTGGCAGCATAGAACTGATCGTGGTCCTCCAATGCATCTCTGGTGTCGAGAGCTTCCTTTCTCATCCTCCCCTTCCCCCACAGCCACTCCCCACAAGCTGTCCCATCGAGGAATATTTCAGGTGTAAACTGAATATGCCACGAGGCCTCCTCTTCATGAAGTGCTTGATTGGCCTACGTACGGGTGGCAGGCTGGACACAGCTGACCGTCTTTCTGGGTCACCCTGTAACTCAAGTCCCCTTTCCTGTTCTCTCCCAATGCTACTTGTCCGCAGGAATTGGATGCCAGCCGGCCCCCCTGACGGTTCCTGGCCTAGGGGCTGTCATGGCAGAGGGAAGCCACCAAGGTGCCATTGAGGATTGGTGTCTGGCTCTCTATGGGCAAGAGCGCCAGGGGACACACAGTGGGACCGGAACCTTCCAGAGTGTCTCCTCAGTCAGGTTTTCGAGGGGGAGGGAATGCGGAGACAGGAGAAAAAAAGTGCTGAGGGCCGAAGCTGGTGCAGGGTGACGGTGCGTCTGGGTAAGGCAAATGAGAGGCAGTGAGGTGATCTCAGAATGGCGTTGAGGCGGTCAGATTAGGCCGGGCTGGCTCACACGAGGGTCCCGGGCTTGGCTTTTTCCTGCCCGTACCACTGGACATCAGCTAGTTCTGGATAGAGGGAGGAATCCAGGAAACAGCTATCATTGTAGCTCCTGTGGGAGGCCCAAGAAAGGAGATGAGACAGTTAGTGGAGGAGGATGGGCTCAGCCAGGCCTAGACTGAGAAGGATGTGTTCACCTTGACAGGGCCCTGTGCTAATCACGAGTCTTTCCTGTTCAGAGCAGTGAGGCCTGAGACCCTCAACAGTGCTGCGTGTACAGAAGGCCCCAGAATCCACACAAAGGTGCCGCCTGAAACCTAGAGCATTTGTGGAGGAAAATGGAAGGTAACGCTTACTCTGTGTGCTGGTTCTTCAACGTGGCTGCATCCGGGGAGCACCTGGGAACTCTCAGAAATACTCATGCCTGGGCCCCGCCTCGGGAGACAATGGCCTGATTGGTTTGGGGTGTGTTTGAGCGCTGGGAGCTGCCAAAGCTCCCACCAGGTGATCCTCAGATGCAGCCGAAGCCAGACCCTCCAGGCTGTCCTCAGGGGACTTTTCCCACACGGGGTTGTCCTCCGTGAGACCCCAGGGCTAACCAGATGTCACTAGGACATTTTTTTTCTGTCCTGGAAGAACATTCGAAATGTGAGGTTTCCCTATAGTGAAACTGCGGTGGTATTTTGAATTGTGTTTTAAAAGTTTAAAAAAAATGGTGACATTGCTTTATTGTAAATTACATGTATTGTTTTGTGATTATAAAAGTGTGTTCATTTAAGATATACAGGAAAGTCTATAGAAGAAAATAAAAGGCTTTTTTTTTTTTTTTTTAAGTATTTTAGGTAGGTATCACCATTTAGGTTGGGTAGAAGTAATTCTTAAATCTCTAGAAGCAATCACAGATAGGTGGAAGCCGATAGTCATTACTAGGGATCATGATTAGGAAAAACAGCCTCGCTGCAATGATCCTGAATGAGCCCTTTGAATTCGTCTCCTGCAACTGATCTCCCCGTGGGGAGGGCTAGGGGAGTGGTGAGGGATGGGTGACAGGAGGGGACCCTAACCCAATGTAGTTCGGAGCAGGTGAGTTTTAGGAGCATTTCAGTACCAAACACAGCTTCATGACTGAGAATCAGCAGTCATCCCCAGCTTTGTTTCATTTGCTAACCTCTCTAGGAACAACTGGATGTTGTAAATGTTTCTCATCTGGCCTGAAAATCCATGAAAGCTGGAAAATCCCAAGGCATCTGTGCACATACTGGTGGATTTTAATGAGAGTCCTGTGCTTGGAGCACCAGAAATAAACCAGCTTCAGAAGTAAAGTAAGAAAAGGCCCTTGATTATGACACTGGCCCCGGGTATTACTATATGTAGGTGGTAAGTGGACGTTTCTGGGACACCTGTCCTGCAAACTTTCTTTCCACCCTGAGCTGACTTTTGAATTGTGCCTGACTGAAAAACTTCTAAGGGGAGAGGTGGTTGGGCCCTCCAGGGGTCCTGTGTTTCTCTTAGGGGGACAATCTCTCCCTAATTCCATGTGGTCCTGGTGGTACTCTCCACCATGCTGCCATCCTCACTCCCGGGGGGACCAGGGGACAAGGAACCCAGTGGGGCTGGGCCAATGAGAGTCCCCCGATCACAATCCCTGGTTCAAAGATGGCCATGTGCCTGAGCAGCTTTGAAACCACAGAGATGTCATCTCCTCCCGAGAACGAAGTTAACAGGAGGAGGAAGCAGAGCTAGAGATGGAACGAGACCCAGCCAGCCCAGGCTCCAGTGACATCAGCCGGTACATGCTCTTGTTTGCTTACGCTTGTTAAACGGAGTTTTTCATATGTAACTAATGAATACTGGCACATGTAAGTAGTTTCTTAAACTGTTGATGAAATGTTTGTTTCTAACACGAACATGATCTGGCTCTGTTTGGGACAAAACTTCCCTAAGGGGCTTCATGAGATCTAAGGAACCACTGTAGCCAGTGTTTCCCAAAGTGGTCTTGTGAGTTGCTCTGAGGGGAAAAAAAAGTTCCATGGATAAATACATTTGAGGAGTCTGCCTTTCAGAGGCCTGAAATGTAAATATATATATTAAAGGTTCTGAGAAGTCCTGGATTACTGTTTGCCCCAGAACTTCTGGAACAGTATCACCTATGAAGATCCACAGAACACACTTTGAAAAACACTCTTAAATAGGCTAATATTATAAAATGAGGTTGACTTATCTTTTATGTTGGATCCTGAACAGTTTCTGGTTCAAACTATTACTGTTGAGTAATAATTGTGACAATATAACCTGCTTCACAGGGGCCAAAAGTCCACTATGTATTGATCATAAAGGCTCAAGGAGACACCACTGAGTTCAAAACAGTGATGTCTGGATAAGGCAGTAGATGAGGTTAAGGGTTCCTGTGGTGGTTTATTCGGTATGTGAAGAGCCTAACCCTTAGCTGGCCTGTGCTGTTCTCCTTCTGGGTCACAGAACCCATACATGACAGGGCATTGGGATCTGGATGATGGGGTGGGAGATGCTGGATTGGTGGTTTGGTTCTCAGGTGGCTCCCCGAGGGGCCACAGTATGGAAACCACTGGCCTGCTCCTGCCTCTGAGGAAACAGAGCTGGAGGAAAAGAGGTAAAGATGTATTTTTCCAAAATTGTGATGTCTTACACAGAATCTTTCTTAGTGCTTCCCCATCATTACTGAAGTATGTAAGGTAGTTTTAAAGCTATAAATGTTGCTTCATGTATTGGTCTCTTATTCTCAAGTTGGGGGAATAGACCCTTGTTCTGGCTGCTCAGCTAAGCCTTTCAGTACAAATTCAATTTTAGGGTAATAGTCAAGGAATGCCATGTGCTACGAAAGCAAAATTAAATGAGAGAGACCATTTAGGAAGCATTTATTCTTCATGAATAATACAAATGGGGCCACTAAATAGTTGCCCTAGTAAAGCTAAGTCCATCATTCACTGGACCATGAGCTGGGGCAGGATGAAGATGTAGCTGTGCTCTTTAAACTGTGACCCAGCAGAGCAGCTTAGCACTGGGCAGTCTGGGTCACAGAAGTGACAACATCAGAATCTGTGAGGCCAGTGCCTGTGGGGGCTTTCCACAGGAAGAATGCCCTTTCCCAGGACTATGCTCAGAGACGTGTGGCCTGCAAAGCGTACTGGCCAGGGGCCCTCTGGTACCAGACAGATGGCAAATTCACCCACATCTCACAGGATTGTGTGGTTTATAAGTGCTTGACATAGGGAGGTGGGGCTGCTGGGAGGGAGGAATTTCAAACGGAATTATTTTTGTAAATGTATAACTTACAAAACAACTGGTAGCACATACTTGGGTTGCTGAATAGTCCTGTAGTTGGGGACGAGGCCCTCTAGAGGCATTCTGTCTTACCTGGTCTGGGAAGGTGCTGTTGCTCAGTATATGTAGGTGTGTCCCTGCATGTGCACACATGTATGCGTGAGCATGCACAGGCAGTATGTAGATATTTCAAGCAGATGTGCCTACATTTCCACAGCAGCTCTTTCAAACCTGGTTAATTCTAGTTCTGGCTATCATCCCAACCTCCATCACCTTTAGCAGATGAGATGACTGGCCCTCCCATACTGGGGGAGAAAAAGGCCATTCTTCCCACGTCAAAAATACTGCTCTCATGACATCATCCTATCTCAAAATCTCTTCTTTTTTCTGGCACTGGCCGGGGGGTGGTCTACCTTCCTTCCAAAGCCTAAGTCCCTGTCCCCCGATTCCCCATCTGCCAACTTTGCAATATTGTCCAAGCTTGTCAAAAGTCCAGTTTTTTCTCTACAGGAAACAAGACTCTCTGTTAACCACCCCTCACCCTTGTCTGTGCATCCGTGTTTTTGCACTTGGAATGGTCTCTCCCTGTCTCAACTCCCTCCTCCCACCGCAGGCTCACATAACGTCTCCATGAACTCAAAAGTGACCCTTACATTTCTGAATCCTCTCAGCGTTTTGTTTCGAAGTCTTAGAGCACTGAATACATAAGTGTGGCAGTTTCTCATGCTCCTCGTATATCTCCTGATAGGCAATTTGATTTCAGTGCCTTCTGTCCCAGTTAGACTCTAAGGGTCCTGGGGCTGGGAACCAGACCAGGTGTTTTCTGCCCCTGTGCTTTGCAAATTTCGACATGCATTTTATTCACTCAGGAATCTTGTTAAATGCACACTAGGTTCAGTAGGCCAGGGTGGTGCCCAGGAGTCTAACTTTCTAACGAGCTCCTGGGTGATGGTGGTAGCAATAAAAATGCTGGCTTATGGACATTTCGAAAAGCAGTGCTCATAGCCTTTGGTACTCAGCACAGCTGTTAAGAATGCTGGGATGAAACGATGGGGGTGCTTCTGGATCAACTCAGTCTGCCCTTGGTGCTTTGAAACTTACATTGCAGCGATGCTGTTCTTTTCAGGGACACTGATTACTAACAGTAAAATGTCTACAAATATTTGAATATAGGTAGAACATGGTGAGTCTAAAACATACTTTGGGGCCAGGCGCACAGATCACTTAAGGTCAGGAGTTCGAGACTAGCCTGGCCAACATGGCGAAACCCCCTGTCTACTAAAAATACAAAAATTAGCCACGTGTGCACCTGTGCTACTAGGGAGGCAGGAGAATCACTTGAACCTGGGAGGCAGAGGTTGCAGTGAGCCAAGATCATGCCGCCACTGCACTCCAGCCTGGGCAACAGAACAAGACTCTGTCTCAAAACATACTCTGGGGGTCTTTTCTGGGAAGCAGTGTTGGGAATATCTAACATCTGATGTAAGAACCTCCATCTAAAAACATATAGTTCCCCATGTATCTGGAAATAAGGCATAAATACAGCATTCAGATGTATCCTTGTGGAAACGGTGACACGGAGAAAAGCAACACACATGCAGCACATGTGGGACCACAGACTTATGGGCAGTAGGAACAAAACTCCTCTTACGGTACCTCTATTCATCAGTACTTTGGTGAGGTGGAGACTCAGACCCATCCAGAATGGGTGAGTTTTCTGTTGCTTCTCTGAACAAAGGAAAGCAGGAGGAGGAAGAGAAGAGAGGTCATGTTACAGAAAGAAACTGACACAGACACGATTAGCAGCTCAGTAATACATCCGAAAGGCCCACTGATTAGATACCTGAGTTAGCAACAGATCATACAAGTCATGCAGTACTTTCAGTCCCCATAATTGAGTCAAAAGACATAATTTGTTAGGAGGGATGGGCCCTCTTTGGCACTTTTTACCCATGGCCTCATTTCGTGTCACATCATAGCAAAGAGTTTACGCAAGAACCAAAATAGCTGTTTTGTTTCAGATTTGTCTTGAGTCCTCACTAGTTGTAGATGGTGAAATAGGCAAGTTTCAAGACCATCTTATATGCATAGGACCCTGAGGAGTGCTTGTACATTTCAGAGCCTGTTGCCAAATACAATCATATATTTGGATCAGGTGAGACTGCGCATGATTCAGAAAAGATCTACAGAGGGATCTTAAGTTTCTTGTTTAGTCACTGGAGGTATGTATTATATATATGAAAGGTGTGTCATTCTTTTATGAGTTAATCTTGGTGAGACTCTTAGACCCTAAACCTTGCAGAGGCTGCCTGGCCACAGAGGTGAGCGCTGCGGTGTGGGTGGTACGTGAGTAGGTGTTAATGATATAGAGTTAAGGACAGAGGGGCAGCTACTGCCCGACAGACAGCCCAAGAGGTAGGAGCAGACACAGGAACAGCGAGTTGGGGCTCTAGTTCCCCTTATTTTAAAAGGAATACAGAGGCAGCATGTGATTGTTCAGTGATTGTCAAACTTGACTGTGTGTCAGCATCACCTGGAGGGCTTATCAGAATGCAGCCTGCTGGGTTCCACCCTGAGTTTTGGATTTTTTTTAGGTTACAGATGAGCCTGAGATTTTGCATTTCTGATAAGATCCTGGGTGAGGCTCTCACGTGCTGCTGCTTTGGGACCACACTTAACTACCGGTATAGTGGGAAAAGACAGGGTTTTGGGTCACAGAGGGCAGAGCTAGGATTCCATGCTCCCTCCAGCTGTCAGACTTTGGGCCAGGCACTTAGTTCTCTGAGCCTCATCTATGAAACTAAAACGTCTGGGTATTTCTGTTGCCAAGGGACGATAAGGATTATATGAGCTGTGTATTAGAAGCTGCTCCCAGCCTTTGAGTACACAGCAAGCACTCAGTAAGTGTTAGGACCCTTTCTCTCTTGCCAAAAATGAAGGCTCCAGAAAACCTCGTGTAAAAAATTACTACAGATAAACCTGCAGGAATAAAAATGCCGGCCAGTGCCTCTAATCCCAGCACTTTGGGAAGCGGAGGTGGGCAGATAGATCACCTAAGGTCAGGAGTTCGAGACCAGCCTGGCCAACGTGGTGAAACCCTGTCTCTATGAGAAATTTGCCAGGTGTGGTGATGCACACTAGTAATGCCGGCTACTAGGGAGGCTGAGGCAGGAGAAACACTTGAACTGTGGAGGTTGCAGTGAGCTGATATTGCACCACTGCACTGCAGTCTGGGCAACAGTTGAGTGAGACTCCATCTCAAAAAAAAAGAAAAAAGGCCAAGTATGAGAGCCTGAAAGGCAGGCATTAGAGCCAATTCTGGAATTGTGCTTTTCTCATGATTCAACTCACAACCAGTTGTCAGATTTTCCCAGACATCCCCCTGATGCTCCACCAAACCAAGGAAGGGAACTCCTTACTCCTCTAACCAAGAGATGTTGACAGAACCTAACATCTACTTAGAGTGATGTCACAGGGGCAACAGAAGAGGCAGGTGCTGTAGGGCCAGGTGGGTTACCTGTGTCTGCCAGACCCTCCACTAGGTCAGAACAGCCTCACTGGCCCCGAGATGATAATGCTGTAGGCGAACATGTCAGGCTATCAAAAGAGCCGCCTGTCGGTTTCATTTATTTTGCTGTGTACAGCTTCCGCTGAAGGCTTCAGGGCGCCTGACCTCCTTTGTGTGTTGATAAAGAGCAAGTGCTTGGCCAGGACACAGCCTTTTTTCTTGCACCCTGAGACATCCTAAGACAGTGGCCGTTTCACCTGCCTCTCAGGGTATTTGCTGTCTTCAGCTCTCTTTCTCCCCCTGACATTCGTGCCTGGGTGTAATCCCAACTGAAATCAAATGCTGTCTGGAAATCTGACCAAAGCAGCACAGTCCCACTTCCTGCTTCCATCTCCCCACATCCCAAGGACCACCGTCTACTTTAAGAGAACACAGGCAGTTCACCTCTATAAAGGAGTAGGCAGAGATGACAGCGGATCATGGGACTTCTCTTGAAGACACTTCCCAGTGACGAATGCTCATCGTCCATTTACTGACTTATCCTTATATCACTAGGATCTGAATATCTATGACACTCGTTCGAGCTGACACAGTGAAGAACATGGAAGGAGAACTCACCCAGTCTGCCAGGTTAGGATGTGGTGGGGGCTGCTTGGGGGAGTGGCTCCAATTTCACTTGACGGTGTCGAGCTTCTCTGGCTTTGAGGTAAGGCAGCTATATGCAGGTGGTGCAAGAAAGGCAGAGAGCAGACAGGGATCAGACACAGGTGGAGGAGCTTGTGACCTGTTGGCCGACACCAACCCAGTGGCCAGAGGTCACCATTTCCAGGGATTCTGGAAAGGACCCCAGGGCAGGGTCTTGGCATCCCTATGGCATGGTCACAGTGGGGAACCATCTCTGCATCCCACCAATTCTATTTTCTCCCCACTACCATGCACTTTCATTCTGAGTCAAGTTGACCCGGGATCCTAGGTCCTCACTTTGCCACCAGGAAGTGGCCACAGGGATGGTGACGGCTTTAACAGCAGCAAAGAACCTGATGTCCACATAGTCCTTTGAGTGAGACCTGAGCAGGGCTCATACAGGGATGACATATTTCTCTGGCCCCAGGGCATTTTCAGTGTAGCCCCGTTGTGAAATTGTTTCTCTCCGTTGTGAAGAGAGGGCATCCAGAAAGGTTCTCAGAGCCTGTTCTCTCTGCTGTTTCAGGCTTATCATTGCTACTGTAGTGCACTTTGAAGGGAGGGAGCAGGGCTTTTAATAGCTCATCCAAACCTGAGCACTAGGCATTTTTTGATGTAGGCAATATGGAAGTCCAGTTGGAAAGATTTAGTAGGAAGTCAATCCTACTTAAATGCATCCTTTGCTTTTTTGGTAATGGAATGTTTTCCATCAGTAAACCTCAAATACAGCTTCTTAAAAATTTTAGTCTAAAATATGTTCCAAAAGATCTAATCTCTTTACATAAAGCAAATCTACTAGACAAGTGCTGCAATTTTGATAGAACATAAACCCTCCTGTTTGGAGATATTTACAACACGTTGGTTCTTTATCTAATAGGGTCACAGATGATCATACTCAAGATCTTCCTGGGGAGTCAATGGCAAATTTCACTGGGCTATTTTACAGATGAAGGAGGAGCATAAAGAAGGTTCTAGGACCTTGAAGTCCACGGAACACCCACTATTGCCTGATCTCTGGAGCTTGTCATTTGGCCAATGGACCCTAATAAACATGTCCACGGGGATGTGGGGATAGAATGCCGGAGCCTGGCTCACCTGGGCAGCCAGGTTCTT